TTTGACAATAAACTATTTGAAAAAAAAAAAAAAAAAAAAAAAAGAAGGTTCCAGCTTATCAAATTAAGAGAGAAAGAGATATTCAGAGGAAGGAAAAGAGAGAGAGACTTATTGTTGAGGCATTGTAGGTAGTAGGCTTGGTTGGTTCCTGGCTGTGAATTGTGAATGAGTTCTCCATTTGAGAACACATAGAGGAAATTTGGGCATGGACTTAAGACATAATCGCTGTCATTTTCTCTTACTCTGTGCTAGGCACTTGCTAAGCACTAGACATACTTTATTTGATTTAACCCTGAGAATAGCCTCCATTTTCTTAGATGAAGACATTGAAACCTTGTGAGGTCAAGTAATTTCCCTCTGCAACACTATTATTACCAGGTGGTGGATCTGAGGTTCACCCCTAGATTCCAAAAACATGATTTTACGGGGAAGTATGTGCAGGGTGGCCCTGCCTATATTAATTGAAGATCCCCACCTAACCCTGGCTCCATAACTTAGTGAAACATTTTGATCCTTTGAGCAGCAGTTGCTGGCCACCCTCTGGAGATTCTACCTAATGCACCATGGCTTTAAACTAGACTCCTGTGTATAACAGGAGGCAAAGATAACAATATTTATCATCCTCTGGGGATACAACTCAGCCTTCAGAGTAGAACGAAATTTACTGAAAGTGCCAGGTTTAAGATTCTGTTACAGTGTTTTTGGACATCTCTGTTACTTATCTTCTCAAAAATATTAGATTTTCTTTTTCCAATTGGAAAAGGACACTTATCAGGATAATCTAGGTACCAGGGAGAGAAAACATGTCTCCCAAGTTGCTTTTGTGTGCAGCCGTGGACACGTGATGGCACAGGAAGCCAGGTTCTTCATTTTTCTCCTTTATCCACCTGCAGACTCTGCTGCTGGAGAGAAAGGGACGTGGTGTGTGGCCCGCAAGCTTTTGTGCAACCTCGGAACTCAGGCAAAAAACCATCAAACCCCTGGTAGAAATTATATTATTCCCACGAAATGCAAAGAATTGAATTAGTTTCTCATTTTTAATTATGTTGTCCTTTTGTTTTTTCAAGCTTTGAGATTGCATTAGAGATGTTCAGTATTTTAGGGGGCGGGGGGGACATGGCTTAGGCAGGATACAGTTAGGTGGCTGAGGGTATATCTTAAAGCTAGCATACCTGGAATGCTAAATTACTTTTTAATAACTGTCTATCTTGTTATCACTGCTCTCCAAAAGGAATAGAGAAAGGAGAAAAAAAGTAACAAAGAAAAATCCCCAGAAATGAATCCCTGTACAACAAACAGCTTTGATCTACCTTCTCTAGATTGTGTAATTTTTTGCATTATAGCAATCAAAAAGAATTATATTTTTACTTGATGTTACTCTTCATGTGCCCATACAGTGTAGGTTTGTTGTTTTTTTTTTAAATCCCAATTCAGGCAGGTAAGAGCTCTGAAGGGAGGGTTTTGAGGACAGAGTGGTCCAAACTAAACATTATCCTCTATAAAGCTGAATATATGGAGTAACCAGGGCATGGAACAGACTGTAAGAACTGTAGATGGTTGAGAAACGGTGAGGTCTATGTTAGCTGGAGCTACTGGGAGAGGTTTGAAAGATGAGGTTAGGATTTAGGTAGAGGGAAGAAAAGCAAAGGTATGGAGCTAAAATTTCAGTCTAAGAACAAAAGCCTTTTTTATTCCTTTGTGTTTTGGACACAGGAAGTAGAGCAGGAACATGCGTCTTTGGAAACAGTAATCTAATTTGAAGCAGCATTGCCAGATGAAGTTAAGCATACCAAAAAGTGAAGCTGG